ACAACCCATCCACCTTCATCAATACAGTGGCTGCTGTACATACCATTCAGTAAGTTGCCAAGCTTCTCTCATATCAGCTTCCATACCCATGAGCTCTGCCATCCAGACCCAAGGGCAGAAAGATAATGGGAACATCACCTCCTGCAAGTTCCTCTCCACACCACACACCATCCTGACTTACAATTGTATCATCACGCCTTCATTGTCACAAATTAATTCTTAAAAAAAAGAAAACAAAATAAAACAAAACAACTTACTCTCAACCGGAAATAGACACGTACCATCATATGGACTGCAGCAGTTCATGACGGCAGCTACTTTGTCAAGGACCTTTAGGAATGGGCAATAAATGCTGGCCTTGCCAGCAACGCTCGCATCCCACAAACAAATTGTAAAGCATTTTCAACTAATCATTGCCTTAACAAAATAACACTAGGGAAGTTTGCACTGTATTCTTACAGAAAACCTATTAGTTTTAAGTACTAGTCAATCTCATGATATTTGGAATCTAAGTAAGTGTAATCTTTGGGTGCAGATGAATTTCAATTTCTATTTTAAGGTAATGTAATGTATTCTGTTATAAATTTTAGAATCCGCATTACAATGGAAATGTTGGGGTTCTTGTGGTGTAATGGTAGTGTCCCTCCCTCGGAGCTATAAGACCTGTGTTCAAGTCCTACCTGCTGGTGAGGTGTCACAACACACCTGAACAGGATGATGAAAAGTCTCCGTAATGGAAACTGCTAATGTCGTTATGTCCTAAGTTACTTATTTCCAACATACAAGAGCCATAACAGGTATGAAATCATTACACAGGCAATCCCTGGGTTGCGAGCAGGTTCTATTCCAGAGTCTGTTTGCAAGTCAATTTGTACACAGGTTGGAACACATTGCAGGACAATATAAAGGTTTGTAAACGCAGGAAACATTTGTATATTGGACTTTAAAATAACACCCTTGTATGAGATTACATTTGTAAGCATGGAGTGTTCATCACTTGAGGGCTCCCTTTACTGTCGTCACTTTGTGACACCAAGATGAACACTGCAAGTTAAATGCAAAGTACAAAACTTAGAGGTTTTCATTCAATTTTCAAAAAAAAAACTGATCAGAAACTGTTAATTGACAACATAAATAACCCATGCTCAAAGTACATAACCTACAATCAGCTCTCATTTCTTGTCAAAAACATAGTCAAACTCAAGCACAAAAGAATTGAGAGCAACTGAAACATTTTGGGGTTACTACTATAAGAAAGAATGAACAGTCAGATGGATACATTTGAATTGTGTTAATTTTAATTATGCAACTTGAAAAGTTTTTCTTTTGAAAAGTTTTGTTTGAACCCTTATTTTGGACATTAGAAATGTCAGTTACCAAAAAAAGACACTGATCTCCCAAAGCAGGGAACCTGGAGTTCAGGTTGTGCATTTGGTAAAGACACAAAAGTAATTAAAAATTTGGAATGAGAAATTCAGAAGTACAAAATTTGATAGCAGGAATTGTGACAGACAGAATTTAAGTACATATACACTTAGTGAAATATAGGAAATGAAACTCAACACTCACATCATCTTGTTTCTTCTGCAGGTCCTCAAGTAATCCTAAAATGTCCTCATCTGCAACATCAAACGGTGTCTGGCCCTACCAAGAAAAAGAAACTTTAATTCATGCCAATTCCAGTTGTTACAATCATCAGCCAGCCTGAACACATTATCTGCTCAGGCAACAATGTATTCCTCATACAACTGGGTGAAAAAATGATTAGATTAATATCGAACTTTGATAAAATTCAACTTTTTCCCACCCTATTTTTTTAAGTACACTTTCATAGAGTCATAGAGCTGTATAGCATGTAAACAGACCCTTTGGTCAAAGTCACCCAAGCTGACTAGATATCCTAAATTAACCTAGTCCCATTTGCCAACATTTGGCCCATTTACCCCTAAACCCTTCCTATTCATATACCCATCTAGATGCGCTTTAAATTTTGTAATCGTACTAGCCTCCACCACTTCCTTTGGCAGTACATTCTATGCATGCACTACCTTCTGTGTGAAAATGTTGACCATTAGGTCCCTTTTAAATCTTTCTCCTCTCATCTCCAAACTATGCCCTCTAGTTCTGGACTCCCCTACCCCAGGGATAAGGCCTTGGCTATTCACCCAGTCCACGCCCCCCAAATGACGTTAAACCTGTAAGAGCACCCCTTAGCCTCCAACGCTCCAGGGAAAATAGCCTCAGACTATTAGTCTCTCCCTATAGTTCAAACCCTCCAACCCTGGCAACTTCCTTGTAAATATTTTCTGAACCCTTTCAAGTTTCACAACATCCCTCCTAGGCCAGAATTGAACGTAATATTCCAAAAATGGCATTATTGTCCTGTACAGCCACAACATGACCTCTCAACTCCTATACTTGGGATGAAACATTCTATATCCATTAGCTTTTAAACACTGGACTGGTCAAGGTCCCTCCACCTTTTTCATTAGTCACTTTGGCTTGGGACTGCATATGTGAAACCTTTCAAGTAAAGTTCTCAATTCCCAGGAGGAGCTGGCGTAAAGTTCATCAAGCTTGCCACTTTCTGCCTTCTCTTTTGTAGAGAATAAAGGAGCAGATTAACATAGCCCTTGCATGTCCAATTTTCTGTGTAGCTGCAACAGATTGAATGGGTTGAGTGCTTGGTATGTGAGCATTCCTATCTGATCTTTCTTGATATAACCACAGTGATTGGAAAGCAGCTAAATTGAACTCAGTCACATTGTGGATAAAAAAAATTCTCCACAGAATCAAACAAATATCTTACAGGTTTTGATTTTTTGCCCTTATTTTCCAGAAGTTACAAAAACAAACATTTTTTTCATTACGTCATAAACTTACTGAATTATTTAATGCTTCCATGTCACAGAAATGTTCCACAAGAAGCCTACAGGATTCTTCCATTCCCCAGTGTGCAGCAGCATGCAATGGTGTCCAGCCATCTTTGTCTTGTGCATGGACACTGAGCCCTGCCTGAAGGAGCAGCCTGCAATTAAACTGCACTGGTCAAAACGGAGGTAACTTCATCGTTAAAGTGAATCATTACAGATGGTAAGTACTTATTCAGTGAACTTCTTCCAAAAATATATGATCCAACACCTAAATTAGGAGGGATTAAAGGGAGATGGGATGCTCTGAGGGTCGGTGTGGACTTGTTGGGCCGAAGGGCCTGTTTCCGCACTGTAGGGATGCTATGAACACTCTGAGCAAGGAAAACAAGTGATGAAAGATACTTCAGCTGGAGCTTCTCATTCACAGAATGAAAGTCAAAGGCTTCCTTCTGCTCTTATGGTCTTGCCAGGTTCCTCAAGGATATAATAAAGCAAAAGACCAAAGATTTTCAGATATAGTTTTTTTAAAAAATTCATTCGAAGGATCATCCAGAGGACAGTTAAAAGTCAACAACATTGCTGTGGGTCTGGAATCATGTGTAGGCCAGACCAGGTAAGGATAGCAGTTGCCTCCCCTAAAAAGGAGATTATTGAACCAAATTGGCTTTATGATCATTGGATTCTTAATTACAGATTTTTACTTCAAATTCCACCATCTGCTGTGACAGGATTTGGACTCAGGTCCCTAAAACATTATCTGGGACTCCAGATTACTAGTCTAGTAATAATACCATTAGGCCATCTCAATTTCTCTATCTACTCTATCAAAACCCTTCTGTTCTGAAGATCTCTGCTAAACCTTCCACAGGTTTCCCTCAGGTGCTTCGGTTTCCTCCCACAGTCCAAAGGGGCAGATTGGGTGGATTGGCCATGCTAAATTGCCCCATAGGTGTCTGGGGGTGATGTGCAGGCTGTGGGTTAGCCATGGGAAATGCAAGGATAGGGGATGGGTCTTGGTGGGATGCTCTTTGGAGGGTCAGTGTGGATTTGATGGGCTGAATGGCCTACTTCCACACTGTAGGGATCCTACGATTCTCTGAACTTGGCAACAAGTCTTCAGAATCATCTTGTAAGCACAGGTCATTTTTTGATGGAGAGAGTAGCTGCTGGAGCACCAGCTCTCTCCCAGCATTAGAAAATGACAAATTTTCAAGTGGATCACCAAGGACTTTCTGAATGGGTAGTCATATTAGACTAAATACACACAACACCCGATGGGGACGCCAGTGATGGCATACTGGATTTGCTGTCATTGCTTGTTTTGATGTACTATAAATCATTTTTTTGACTGACATGTGTTACTTCTCACTGAACGACAACAATATACTACAAACATTTAAAATGAAGACAGCAATGCAATGACAACATCAACACAACGATGTATCTGACTTTCCTGCCACGCAGCTTCAAATCTGAAAGCCCTGGTTAAGTAAAATACACCTCACCTCAGAAGTAGAATAATAAAACAAGTTGTATTTATGAAAGCAGCGTCCACCTTGCAGGTCACCGTAAAGCAGTCCACAACTACTTTGACATAGTGACCATTAGATAGGTGACCACAAAAGTCCTTTTGCACACACAATCTCATATCCATGCAGAGGGGGCTTCTCTTTAAACATCTCAAAGCCTGCATGTTGGACAGTGACTATACTCGTAGGAATGTAACATGTTCAGCTTGCGTATTGTGCTATATCCAAGAGTGGGGCTTGAATGCACAACCCTCTGACTGTTTTAACTACTCAGCCAAGCAGACATCATAACACAAGTTGGTCCTGTCCTCACAAGGTCACTTTCCACACTAATTACATGTTATAGGAATATATGCAATTCTTCTTCCTGAGCTGAAGGGCTCAGAGGACAAAGTTAGTGCCTTTACAACACCCTTGCCCAAAACAGCTTGCCTTGCAGAGACCAGAATTCAAACTTCTGTTGCCCTGGTAGGAGGATATTATTCACACAGGACAAAACAAAATTATACTTGCCTCATCACTTCGATGTAGCCTTTGGCAGCAGCAACGTGGAGAGCATTGGCACCAGATTTTGGGTGAGATACCTCTTCAATCTTCCCACTGTTTAACCATTGTCTGGCATGCTGCAGCATCAATTCCTCCTCCTCACGTCTTGCAGATTCCACATCAATCCCTACAAAAAAATAAAAAACAGGAACTTTCTAACACTGCAAACACAAATAAAAGGACATAAATGTTTAATATAGCACAGCAACGCAGTGACATTTCAAAACGCAGTGAAATGAGAACTGTGACAAGCGTGTTAAGCCAATGTATGTTATGAAATTGCGCTATTTTACAATTCACAACTCAGCTCCAACTGTGTAAGAATACAGGTGTTGCCGCAATAGCAGCCACTGTAGGTCAGCAAACATAATGGATATTGTGTATGAACATGTGCTGATAAGCAGAAATTACACTTTCGTCACAACACCATAAAATATCCCATTTTCAAATTTTAACAACAGGCAACACTATTATTGAAACTCAGCAGGGACCAGCAAAATTCCCAGGTTAACAAGGTGGGCAGCTCCCACTGCTTTCAGACTCAGCACTGACCTGGATCCTACTATTTCAAATGTGTTGCAAGTATGAAGGATGGCTACTTGAGTGACAATTTACAACAAGTGGCAATTCTTAATCTTGCATACACTTAAAACTATGCTGAGAAAGTTAAGCTGAATAGGAAAGAAAGACTTGCACGGCACCTTGCACAGCATCCCATACGCTTTACTGTCCATTACTTTTGAAGCCATTGAACAGGTCAGAAAGAAACTACTTACCAGTTCCAGTCATCTGTATTTTCTTTCCCCCCAGCAACCCCACCAAAGACTTGCGATTTTTTTCTTCATTTTAATATATATATTTGATACCAAATGTAGTCACCCCTCTAGAATTGTGACATCCAGTTTGTACATGGTAAGGTGCCGCAAATGAGGTGATAAGTGACCAGAAAAAATGTATTTCAGTGAAGGTATTGGAGAAGGGATAAATATCCACTAGGACACAGGGAGAACTTGCCTGCTCTTCCAAACTGTGCCTTCCAAATTGTTTACATCCCACCCAAGGAGGAAGATAGCATTTTGGTCTGAAGTTTCAGTTGTGAGATGGTGTCTCCAACAGTGTTAACACTTGCTCACTACTGTATTGTGCTCACATGTCTGGAGTAACACTTGAACCCCTCTTGTGGTGCAATGGTAGTATCTCTACCCTTGGACCGAGAGGGCATGGTTCAAGATCCACCTGCTCCAGAGCTGTGTAATAACATATCTGAAAAGGTTGATTAGAAAATTAGGCTAAGTAATAGATTTAAATCTACAACTTCCTAACCCATGAGTGAATCATACATTGAGCTATGGCTGACATGAATTATATTCATCAAGACATTGTTGTAACAGTTTCAAAAGGCTTGAACACACCCTGCTTGTTAATGTAATCTTGCAGCAGGGTCTCCATGTAGTCCTCCTCTGCGAGGTCAAGTGGCAACTGTCCATCACTATTCACAGCAGCAATATTGGCACCATGGTTGATTAAACACCTACAATAAAAAAAAACTGAACAGGTTTGGTTTCAGGTCTTAAGAAAATTTAGAAATACAGCTGGAGGGGGAGGAAAGTGCACGTTACCTACGAAGATCTAACATAGAAAAAAAAGCCAAGATAAATAAGGAAGTAGCAATTCATCAATATTAAGTTTACAAGTTAAATCTTACAGGAGGGTGCATGCAGAAGACGAAATTGAAAGATGCAGGGTGTTTCTAATTGTTACAGTACAATGACAGGCTGTTCAGCCCAACTAGTCATTCCAACATGCTTCATAGGAGCCTCCTCCTCTTATCCTTCAACATCTGACTTAAGCAGGATCTTTTTATTCTTTTCTCACTTGTCTCTGTCTAATTTTGAAGTCAGGAGAAGACATTTTTTGGTACCATCACCTACTCTATTTTGCTAAAGAGGTTGCAAGAAGAAAGGATATGGTTTACTCAAACTTTTACATGAGGAGGCATGGGTTTATGTAGACCAATTAATTAACACAAGGATGATAAAGTTTAGACTTCTACTTCTGCAGACAGCAGTCAAAGCTAGGTCAATTGTCAATAATAAATTTGCAATGGAGAGTTTTTTTAGTCAAAAGGTATTAAGCAATGTGAAATAACAACAGATACATGGAGTCAGGTCACAGATCAGCCAATGATTTCATTGAACGGTGGAAGAGGCTCAAGGGAACTCTGGTGGAAGACATTCCTAAATAACTGACTGAAACTCAAAAGTATCCCAGAACATGTTCAAGCCTGGATCACAGTTGCCTCCTGTTAGATGGAGCTAATTTACATCAACCATCCATTTCAGCATTTGTATGGCAGTTTAGAATAAAGAGAGAAAAAAGTTCCGAAGTATAGAAAGGGAGGGAAACGGATGAAAGGACAGACATAAAACGATGGAGAGAGACAGAATTGGTAATCACAGGTTTGATGGAAAATGATTTAAGGTGGCTTCTTAAAAAAAAAGTGGCAAGATATAGGGAGGTACTCGAAAGAATATGTTTGGGCCACTGAAGGTACTGCTGGATGACGGCAGAGGTAGTAAGAGGTGGGGAAACAGAGGCACAGAAGGAATACAAGATTGGAGAAGGTAGCAGAGATAGAATAGGTAGAAAGACTAGAGGTCAAGATGAGATTTAAACTGGAATTTAAATTCAATGCATTTGGAAGCTAAGGAGGGCTGGAAAGAGGGACATGCAGAGACACAAAGCATTTGGGTTCCTAATTACCTTACAGTTCAGTGCAACATGTATTTGGCATGTTCCTGCCAATGCTTCAAATCTAATTTTTTTGACAGTCAAACTAGAAGCTTTCTGCCATCTGCCTTAACATTGTTTTCCATAGCTTGGTGTCTAATTTTACTTGGGAAGTTTTATAATGCGAGATCCACTATACACAGGTTGGTGCTGTTGCTATACTGCAAAGGGTTCCCAATTTAGTCCACACATATTGAATATCTTCAAGGATATCAACAAGTAATAAAGGCTAGAAGGGAAACAGTGATGGATAACTAATTCATGGTAACTGAATATATTAAAAAGGGGGGAAACAACTGGGATCTGGGGGTGGGGAAAAGAGTGTTCTAGACTGGTGTAGCCAACAAATTTCGCTGAACAAGGAAAATCTAAGCTTCACTCCTGTTTGACCAGCATTGTTAGAATCTATTAACAAAAGGACACACTGTTCTAAAAAAGAATAAGAAGTTCTAAAACCTTCAGTTATGGCGGTGATGTCAACTATTATTTACGGAGCTCCCATCAAGTTAGAAAGTTGACAAAAAGCAACATAAAGAATGCCATAACAAAAACAAAGACAATGTTTTCAGTGTCAATTGTACAAACGTTGTACAAGTGATACATGTCTATTTAGGGGAAGACACACCATTACTTTATTAAAAAGGTATCCATCACTCCTCACTGTGCACCTACTATCAGCTCAAATCTAAACTTGTCAATCAGTTATCTGGTAACCAGAATGAGTGCAGGGCTGGGGAAGGTTGGTGCAGACTTTGACCAAGTTGGGAAAGAGTCTGCACAATTACACACATGCATGCATAAACACACAGGTTTAGTTTCTGGTAACCAGAGTTTTAAAAAAAAAAAAAAAGCGCATTAATATTTAAATCATGCTCCTGGAAACTACCGGCACTAGTACCAGCCCCACTAACAATCAACCAATGTTTCATCAGGGTGGTTCAAACCTCTCTGTACAAATAAAAAACAACTAGTTTAGAAGCACCTTAAATCAATAATTTACTGCTGGGTATTTTTCACAGTTGTGATAGCAGAGTTCAAAACTGACACACCCTTATTATCCATTGATATACTGAAAATCATTTCTCTGGAAGCACTTCATTGTCAATGCCAACACCTACATTTATGATGGAAACATCCTATTTACATAAAAAATGGATTTCCCTCATTCAGAGAAATGGAAGATGCAAGACAGCAGTTAGTATTTTAACTGTCACTATTAAGAGGTGTCCCAGAGATAGTAGGAGGTGTGCCATACTCCTCTTATTCAAACTCTCCACTTACCTCCAGGAATTTAGTGGTTGATAGACAAATATACATAAATTACCAAGTCTCTTATGGCCTGTTCACAGCAGGTTAAAAAGGACAGGATAGTTCAGAATGAATAACAGTCTGCTGCGGTATCTTGAATTAAGGTCAAAGCCAAATAAAGAGTAACTGCTCAGATCAGATTCTCAGTCAAATGAAAAGTCAGACTGAGACTTTTCCTTAATACTTCTTTTAAAAAAAGAAAAAAAAATGGACTTCTAAACTTAATTAGAAGACTCCGTTAGTGAGCTAGTTTCCTTATATAATGAATTAGGAAAAAATAAATTCCAATTTAGTTTCTTTGAGTTCTTACTAATTCCTCAGAAGTTTCTTTAGTATTCTAATCAGCCATCAATTATACCCTTGTAATTAGTATGAAGGGTGAAGCTGGGGTTATTTTTGTCCAGGCATTTGAAGCCTCAGGACCAACAAACAGGATTTTTTAAACAAGTTCATTCATGGGATGTAGGCATCATTGACTAGGCCAGCATTTATTGCCTATTCCTAATTACCCAGAGGCAGTTGAGAATCAACCACATATTGCTGTGGGTCTGGAAATACACGTACACCAAACCAAGTAGGGATGGCAGCCTCCTTTCCTAAAAGGACATTGGTGAACCAGATGGATTTTTCCAACAAATCGATAATGCTTTCATGGTCATCGTGAGACTTAATTCCAGGATCTATACTGTATTCCCCAAAATTACAGCCAGAGTGGGGTCACAGCCTGCTCTGGTACCTCAATGATATCCTCAAGAACCACATTCCAAACACTCCGGTGCAAATGCCATGCAACTCTGTAAGCTGGCCACAGCCTCTTCAGCCTATTTAACAGGCAAGTCTGGTTTGAAGCTTCTTTAACTGCCCATCTTGTGGGCACCTCTGAACACTAATTTTGGTCTTGGAGGGCTATGTTTTGTTTCAGGAATACAAGTACACATAACGTGGTTGGGCAATTGTGGGGGTGCCATTAAGAGACAGCATGGCTTCACAAAGGGGAAATAATGTCTGACAGATACATCAGAATTCTGGAGGTGGTAACAAGCAGGATGGATAAAGGAAAAACAATGCATGCAACCTATTTGGATTTTTAGAAGACATTTAATAAAGTATCATACATTAGGCTATTTAATAAGATGAATCTGTAGTGTTGATGGAAGTAAATTAGCATGGATAAAGGATTGGCTAACTAATAGAAGAGAGTTGGGATGAGGGAGGGAGGTCATTTTCAGGATGGCAGGCAATCTGTAATTATCAAATTGCCACTGGAATCAGTGCTGCAGTCACAGTTATGACTAATATATTAATGAATTGGATGAGGAGGATATATTGTGGCCAAGGTTGGGGATGACAAAATAGGTGAAAAGGCAGGTGGTGAGGATGACTCAAATCGAATTGCATCTGGAACAAACTATTCAATGTTAAGCAAAACAATTTATTCATACGCTATAGTTGAAACATAAAACAAAAAGAAAGAATAAAGAAAGTTAACCTAGTTGTAACTATTGGAACGATTAACAAAATAATAGATACAGTGACTATTACTAATTAACTGTTCCAATATAGTAACGTCCTGTAAACACCCTTAGTAAAAGGCAAATTCAGAAAACAAATTGTCTGTCATACAGTTCTCCAATCAAACTACGAAGAACATCAAAAGACAAATCAGAGAGTGGGAGCCGGAACTCCACCTTTCAGCTGTAAAGAGAGATGTGTCAACTTTTCACAACCCTAACAGCTTCTGACAAAAACCTAAACAAGACTAAAAATCCTGCTTCTGTAAGAGTTTAAACAACACCCATTTCATGCTGCTTCTATTGTTCCAACTTTTAAAAACCCTAAGGTTTCACAAGCATTTTACTTTCTTACAGACAGCTCGTTACCTCTTGTTCAAACTCTTACAAAGAAACCAGGACAAGCTACACTTCTTAAAGCCATAGTATCATCACAGCTAGAAGAACAGAGGAGCTATTTAAATGAAGAAATACTGCATAAAGCCACAGCACAAAGGGACTTGGGAATGCTCATACATAAATCTTAAACTAGCATTCAAGTGCAGAAGATAATAGGGAAGGCAAATGGGATATTAGTCTTTATTACAAAATGGGATTGAGTACAAAAATAGGGAGACTTGTTAAAGCTATACAAGGCATTAGTCAGACCATGGCTGGGATGCTGTCAACAGGTTTGGGCTCCCTACCTTGGAAAGATGTATGGACATTGGAGACAGTCAGACAGGGCTCAGTAGGCTGGTATGAAGGACTATCTAATGAGAGAGGTCAAGTAGGTTTGGCCTAGACTCATTTGGAGTTTAGAAGAATGAGAGGTGGCCTTATTGAAATAAATAAGATTCGTTGGGGCTTGCAGAGGTTGTTTCCCCTTGCGGGAGAGTCTAGGACCAGACGGATCGCCCACTTAAGACAAAGATGAGGATGAATTCCTTCTCTCAGAGGGTAGTGAATCTAAGGAATTCTTCACTGCAGAGAGCTTCAATGCTGAGTCATCAACTATATTCAAGACTGAGATACACAGAATTTTAATTGGTAAGAGAATTAAGGTTTATGGGGAAAAGGCAGGAAAGAGGAGTTGAGGATTATCGGATCAGCCATATCTCATTGAATGCTGGAGCAGATTCAATTTTGGGAGAGGTGATAGTCTCGTAGCATTAAATTGCTAGACTATTAATCTAGATACCCAGGTAATACACTGGGACCTGGGTTCAAACACCACTATGATGCATGCTGGAATTTGAACTCAACTTCTGGAATCAAACATCTAATGATGATCATGTTGATTCTTGGGGGAAAAAAACTCATCTGGTTTACTAATATCCTTTAGGGAAAGAAATCTGCCATCCTTACCTAGTCTGGCCTATATGCGACTTAGATACACGACAATGTAGTTAACTCTTAACTGTCCTCTGATTAATTAGAGGCAGACAATAACTGCTGGTCCAGCCAGTGATGCCCCCATCCCATGATCGAATTTAGAAAAAGTCAAATTGAACGGCCTACCTTTGCTCCGATTTTCTTAGAATATCTTCTTCAGGTGCATTATCAAAAAAAGTGATCATGGTACCACAAAGATGACAGGTTAACTAAAATCTTGGACAAAGATTGGTTTTAAGAACCATCACAATCCTAACTTCCAGTGTCACAACAGGAAAGATGGCAGCGTATTGGTGACATGACTGGTGAAATCTGTATTCAATTATTAAATCTTGATTATAAACCTAGTCTAAGTAATGGTGATAGTTAAACAACCAGATTGCTGTGAAAACCCAGCTGGTTCATTAATGTCCTTAAGGTAGATTAAGTCAGAGTTATACAGCATGGAAACAGATCCTTCAGTCCAACTCATCCGTGTTAACCAGATATCGCAAACTGTTTTAGTCACAATAGGCTAGCGTTTGGTCCATATCCCTCTAAACCCTTCCTAATAAAATCTCAGCTGGTTCTTCAAGATTGCTGAAATGTATTTTCAATACACAGACTGACCATTTTGAAAATAAGGTCATCTGCAATCAAGGCAAACAGGCTCATTTTTGCTCAAATACAGATGCACCTATCAAAAGTCAAAAATGGCGAATTCTTTGATGGTATCTGCCCACTTCTTTCCACACAGACAGCAAACACGTTCATGCTGGTATACGTCAGGCAGCCCAATCCACAAAATTCAATCCAAATTCACAGAGCTCCCTGGTACACTGTGACACTGATTTTCTAAACTCTTTCCTTTGAGCTAGGTTTTAAAACGTAGCTCAAATGAAAGAGAAATATAATGCAGACAAATGGAAACTAGTTTCAGAACATTAAGCAATTTTGCTGTGAAGGCAAACAAGTGAGTTTTGGGTTGTATGTTGTGGCATGGAAAGAGGCCACACTACCCATCACACCTGTGCTGGCTGAATAAGCTAGCTGCCTATTCTAAGCCCACATCCCAGCACCCAACCCACAAGCTTGCAGATTATAATACTTCAGGTGTGGAATAAGATTTCTTTAATGAGGGGTGGGCTCTTGTTTCAACCACCAGACTGGGTAGCATCCTCCCAATACTTTTTCAATCAAGGCTGGTGGGTATTTCCTCCTGTCCCTGTAGTACTTCTATCAGTTACCTTAAATTATGCCAATTGGTAAACTGCCTCTCTACTAGAGAGAAACAGATCTTCCCTATCCACTCTATCCAAGCCCCTTTTTTTTGTACTCCTCAATAGTCATCCAGCAACCTGCTTTGTTCTAAGGAAAGCAACTCTCACCTATCTAATCTTTCCTTATATTGGAAACTTTCAAAACCTGATAACATTTTTGTAAATTCCCACTGTACAATATCCAGAACAATTATGTCCTTCCTGCAATGTAGCAACCCGAACCGAAATTTGCCACCTTTATCTGTTCTAGCCTATATGTGCCTCGTGTCCTAGCAAGCCACTCAATTCAAGGACAATTAGGGATAGGCAAAAAAAAAAGGGTGGCTTCCCTAGTAACAGCAACAACACAAAACATTTTTTTTTTTTTTAAATAAGAGTTATGTTTCCTCTGTCAATGGTTACAGTTATGAATTATTGCATCAACATTCCCCATTAATATCTTCAATGCCAAACAGGACAATTACTGAACATTGCCACAATCAATTAAAAAAAATTGAAGGGGTGCAGACAACTTATTTTGTATGTAAATAATCTGGGTTATTCCAAACAAAATAAAACTGGGGGTTGTTTTTGTTTTGCACCATATTTATCAAAATTTGGCTGGACAGTCAGTTTGTGACACAGTGATGCCAGTGGTGTGGGTTCAATTCCTGCACTGAGTGAGATTACCATGAATGAATCTCCTTCTCAACCTCTCCCCTCACTGGAGGCATGGAGACCCATGTCCACCACCACCAGTCATCACTCTTGCTTTAACAAGAGAACAGCCTTGTTGTCTGGTAGGATTATGACAACTTTGCCTTTTTAACAGCCTGCAATCATCAGTATTTCAGACACAGCCCCATGTTTGCAGCCTTGATAAATTGTGCCAACTAGCATTTTTGCACTGAGCAAAAATAGAAAAAACCTTTCACACCTAGTATGAAACTGACACACGCAAAAAACCAGACCACAGTTGCTTCATATTCCTCACTCCCACATCAACGCATCACCAAAAGGGAGCTTGAGTTTACCAATGAATCATTAGCTACCCACACAAACCTAATCAGATGCATTGCAAGGCTTTGCCCCAAAACTCCAAAGGGTCACTTGTGGTCACCAGACTGACTAGGGTCCTCAGCAGTCCTGCCAAATTTCACACATTCACAATTGTTAACTTGAAGAAAAAAAAAAGAAAGATCACTTGTCACACTTGGGTAAATTTAAAATCTGAAGAAAGTTTGTTAAAACTTACTCGACAATTTCAGAATAACCACATGATGCCGCCACATGCAGTGGTGTCCATCCCTCATTATCCGGCTGGTCAACATTGGCATTATGTGCCAGCAAAAACTCCACCATTTCCAAATTTTCATCTATACATGCCTGAAGAGAACAAAAGAAACTGTTAAACCAGAGACTTAATTAATTTCCCTAACATTTTCTCCTGTTGGTATTAATTCAGGCTAGGATCCAATTTCACAGCCATTTAAATAAAAAATTAAATTGCAATATGGAAAGGCCAGCATTAGTTCTCCCCATCCTCAAATGCCCTGGAGAAGATGGTGAGCCACCTTCGAATCACTGCAGCCCTATTAGGAAGTATGTTCCAGGATTTTGACCTAGCAAAGGAGCAGGGATATCGTTTTAAGTGAAGATGGTGTGCGGCTCGGATGGAAATAGGCAGTAGTGAGGCTCACTTGCAGCTGCTGTCCTGGTCTTTCTGGGTGGTAGAGGTCATTAGTCTGGAAGATGCCTCGAATGAACTTTGGTAAGTTGTACCTTGTGTGGTATGCATTGCTGCAATTGAAGTGTTCAAATGTTTAACTTAGTGAATAGTTGGCTAATCAAGGATGTGTGTGTGTCCTGGAATGTACAGTTTCTTGAATATTGCCAGATCAGGATGTATCCAGGCCACTGAAGGGTATTCCAACACAAACTTGATTGTTTAATCAAAATGGTGGACAAGTTTTGGAATGTCAGGAAAGTAGTTAGAATCAGAATTTCCGGCCTGAGTATTTATGAGGCTGGTCCAATTCAACTTCTGGTCAGTGGTAACCCCAAGGATTTTAATAGTGAGAGAGACCCAGCAAAAGTAGCACCATTGAAAGTCAAGGAGAGACGGCTACATTCTGTCTTGTTAGAAATGGCCATTGCCTGGCACTTGTGTCACAAATATTACTTGGCACTTTATCGCTTAAGCCTGAATATTATCCAGGTCTTGCCACGTATAAATCTGTGTTGCTTCCATATTGAAGACTGTAATGACTTCAGGAGCCGAGAGGCCCTAGCGTAACCCAAACTGAGTGTTAGTGAATAGTTTGTTGCTAAGCAAATGCTGCTTGATAGAACCGCCGAGGTCACCTTCTATGACTTTGCCAATGTGGGTACACAGGTAGGGCAGTAATTGGTCAGGTTGGACTTATCCTGGTCTTCTGTATCTTGGGCAATCTGCTACATTGTGAGGTTGATGTCAAATGTTGTAACTGAACTGGAACAGCTTGGCTAAGGGTGCAGCATATTCTGCAGCACAGTCTTCAGTACTACTGCTGGAACGTTGTCAAGGCCCATAGCCACTCCAGTATCCAGGGCTGTTTCACTCCACATGAACTGATGGACTTAACTGATAAAAGATTGGCATTAGTTAGGCTGGGAGCTCTGGAAGAGGCCAAGACAGATCATCTGCCTCGACACTTCTGGCTGAAGTTGTTTGAAAGTGGTTCAGCCTTATCTTTTTTCACTGATGTTCTGGTATCCCCATTATTGAAGATCGGGCTATTTGTGGAGCTCTCTCCTCTGGTGAGTTGATTAATTGTTCTACTACCGCTCAATTAAGGCTTTCACAAAAGAACTGCAAGTTATTTGAAAAGGGAAGAACGCACAGAGTTTCAGGGGAGAAGGCAGCATTAAGTGAATTGATCATTCATGGTGCAGACATGATGGTTGAATGACATCCTACTGCACAGTAACGAGATAATTCAAATGAAATTACAGAATCATCAAAACCCCTTTGTAACAGACATATTTATCAGGTTACCCGAGCCTCAACTTTTCTGCAGAATGAGCCTTAACAGGTTTCATTTTCCCGAAAAAAAGGTTAAAACTCTCATTATTATTCCAACAAATCTTTCTTTTGCCTTTTCTCCAATGCTTCTGTCATTACTTTTGTATTAAATTTGTTTGATCAGGTTAAAGAAACTGCTAGGGCAGGTGATACTTGAACCCAGACCTTCTGGATTGGGGGGGAGGGACACTACCACCATGCCACGAGACCCTTTCAAAATGCCTCTGCATTCTTTTTGTAATGGCAATCAATTGTTTTCAATGTGGTCTAACCAAGGTTAGAGAAATAGTTACAGCCCCAAATCAGCAGAAATCAGGAAGCACAGCACAAATTGTACCTGGAACTAAATGGTCTGTGTGGCTTGGTATTATAATGGGTAGTGTTTAGCATCCAAGGCCATGTGGGAAGCTGGAAGGAGTCAAACCCTAATCACAGCTACAAAGAACAGCAAGATTACAAAAGGCAAAAACAAAACTCTTCCTCCTAATGCTTGCTGAGAACATCAAGTGCTGTCACACAGAAGAAAATAAATCATGTTTGTTTAAATTGAAAGTGACACAACCACAAATACACTCCTGCATGCACTCCCCCGTAACAATCTCCCCTTGCAAGGCTTCCGCTGAATTGAGTGTGCAAGTCAACCTGATGTTGCAAGCAACTGACAATAGCTGCTGCAGTACTTTCATACAAAATATGCAGAAATGTTGCAATGCTTTGTCAACAACTGGTCTACAGTTGGGACACAGTCAAGTTCAGTACCAACAACTTGCATTTATACAGCACGTTTCACATAGTAAAATGCTTCAAGGAGCTTCATGTGTGTCATCAAGTAAATGTTAATGTTGAGTCGCATAATCTGATATTGAGGGAGAAGAACCAAAAGGTTGATCAAAGCAGTACAATTTAAGCGGCTAAGAAATGTTATGAATGAGGCGTAAGCACCTAAAGAGCATTTTTTTTAAAATATAAGATGAGACACTAGTTAATCATGGGTATTCAGAGGGATTTGGTTGTCCTAATGGAGCAATCACACTAAAACAAATTAATATGCAGGTACAGCAAATTTGCTTGTTAACTTTTTTTAAAATCGCCCAGAGGCCAGAGTAGAAGAGTAAAGAAATCTTGCTGGAATTATACAGGCCTCTGGTGTGATCACATTTGGAAGACCATGTGCAGTTTTGGCATCCTGACCAAAGGATAGAAACTTGCAAATGAACCACTTCAGACAAGTTTGATACACCTCTGGAACTGGTGGGACGTCAACTTTTGGCCCAGATGTGACACAGTGATGGTGTCACTCAAGACCCTTTCTAATGAAGGACATATTTGCTAAAGTGGGGGTACAATTAAGTTTCACTAGGTTGATTCCTTTGGATAAAGGCTTCCCGATTTTAAAAAAGGTTGAGAAGAACAGGCCAATAAACTTAGGATTTGAGAGGAATGAGTGGTGATCGGGAAGGTAATGCTGAGAAGATATTTTTCCCCATCTGGGGGAAGTCTAGAATTGGGAAGATAATCTTAAGCAGGAGCAGACAATTCAGCTCCCAAGTCTGCTGCACCATTTATACAGTCACAAATCATACAGCATGGAAACAGACCCTTCCGTATAACCAGCCCATACCGACCATAATCCAAACTAGACTAGTCCCACTTGCCTGTGCTTGGCTCCTATCCCTGCAAACATTTCTTATTCATGTACTTATCAAACTGTCTTTTAAACATTGTAACTGTATCCGCATCCACCACTTCCTCTGGAAGTACATTCCACACCCGAACCAATATGTTAAAAAAAAATTGCCCATGTCTTCTTTAAATCTTTCTCCTCTCATCTTAAAAATACGTCCGCTAATCACGAAATCCCCAACCTGAGGGAAAAGATACTTGCCATTCACCTTATCTATACCCATCACGATTTTATAAACTTCTACAAAGTCATCCCTCAACCTCCTCTGCTCCAGTGATAATATGTCGCAACCTATTCAGCCTCTTGTAATAACTCAAACCCTCCATTCCCAGCAACGTCCTAGTAAATCTTTTCTGAACTCTCCACTTAATAATTTCCTTCCTATAACAGGGCAAACAGAACAATACTCCAGAAGAGGCCTCACCAACATCTTGTACAACCTCAACATAAACTTCTCAACTCCGACATTCAAAGGTCTGAGCAACGGAGGCAAGCACACTAAACACCTTCTTGACCACCCTGTCTACACATGACATGAACTTGAAAGAATTAATGTACCTGTCCTCTAGATCTCTGATCTACAACACTGGCCAAGGCTCTACTTTTAATTGTATAAAACTTTCCCAAAATGCAGTACCTCACATTTACCAAAATTAAATTCCATCTGCCACTCCTCAAGCCCATTGACCCAAGATCTATTTGTAACCTTAGATAACCTTCTTCACTGTCCACTATACCACCAATCTTGGTGTCATTCGCAAACGTACTAACTAGATTTTGCATATTCTCATCTAAATCATTTATATAAATGAAAAACAGAAATAAATCCAGCAGCGATCCCTGTGGAACACCGCTGGTAACAGGCCTCCAGTCCAAAAAAACAACCCTCCATAATCATGGTCTGTCTCCTGCCTTTAAGCCAGTTTTGTATCCAATTGGCAAGCTCACAGTGAATCTCACATGATCTAACTTTACTAATGAGTGTACCATAGAGAACTTTGTCAAAAGGCTTTACTAAAGTCCAAGTAAACAATGTCTACCACTCTGCCCTCAATCTTCTTGGTTACTTCCTCCTTAATACGATCATGGCTGATCTCATCTCAGCCTTAACTCCATTTTCTTGCCCACTCCATATAACCGCTTAACCTATTAATAAAAATCTATCGTCTCTTTAAAATTTATTAAACATCCCAGGTCCACCATAATTCCTATGTGCACCGTTCTTTGTGGCAGTAAGTTCCACAGATTCACGACCTTTTCAGAGAAGTAATTCTTAAATCTCTACTTTAAGATCGGCTACATTTTACTCTAAACTTATTACTGTACATACTAGATTGCCCCAGAAGGGAAAAACATCTGCTCCATGTCTAAAGTTATAGTCTCAAAAGTAAAAGGGTCAACCATTTGTAACTGAAATGAAGAGAAATGTCTCCATTCAAGATGGCTGTGAATCTTTGAAATTCTCCTTCCTGGAGAGCTGCAGATGGAAAGATTAAGATCAAGGTTCCACAAGAGATTGAGATTAAAAAGATAGGAGGGGAGCAGGAAGGGGCCATGGAGGAATTTAAAAACAAGGACACTAATTTTGAAATTAAATTGACATTGTAGCTGGTCTGAAAGTCATTTATGCTTGCTGACCTACATTGGGGAGTGTAGGATGTTATGTTTGAATGGGATGGTGCAGGAGAGAAAACAGAACACAGAACCCCCTCCTCATCAACACCTCCTTGCTGTGCAGTCAGGGAAATCTTGAAGCAGATTTTCAGAGAAGATTGCTGCTTGAACGTAGGAGTTGAAACAGGTTGCAGAGTTGAAAGCTGAGAAGAATCATAGCCAAATACAAAAGATGGGGAGGAGGTGGATTGTCAGTACGTTGGATCAACGAACAAAACGTATTTGCATTAGTCTTAATTCATCCAATTAAAGACAGATGCAGTTGGTTCAGGGGAGAAGCAATGGGCAGTAAGGACTAGATGAAATTTACTGAAAGTAAGCAGATCGATCAACATTTAATGAAGGACAGATAGGACTTGCATTACTCTAGCACCTTATCTTCAGTGCTGCAAGCCAATTTATTACTTTTGATGTGGAATTGCTTGTGTGTAACAACTTCCATTTATATCGAATGTTAAGCTAGCAAAATGTTCCACAGTACCAGAGGAGCATCATCAGAAAAGCTGATACCAAGCATAGGAAGTGGTTATTTGGGCAAGTGACCAAAAATCTAGTCAAAGAGGGAAATTTTAAGCAGGAGTGAAAAGACAGTGATTTAAAGAAGGAAATTCCAAACATTAACATTTAGATAGCTGAAGGAATGGCCGATTGTAATGGAGTAGAGTCAGTGCAGGGTTACTCAAGAGACTGAGAACGAGAACACAGTTCTGGAAACATCGCAGGGCTGAAGTTGGTTTACAGAGATAAGGAAGGGCAACACCAGGAATGGAGTTAAACACACAGTTGAATATTTTGATGCAGGAGAGGATAGGAGGTCTGAAGCTTCAAAAGGATCACAACTGTTACATCACAAAGGAGGTCATTCAGTTCATCACGTCTGCCCAGCTCTACAAATGAGCAATTCACTTAGTGTCATTCCCCAACCTTCTTGTACTCTTGCTTATTCTTCTACGGATAATAATCCGATTCCCACCTCAAGTGAAACTGAATCCACCACACTCAGAACATTCCACATCTTAATCACTCATTGTATTAAAAACACATTCACATCTTTGTTGTTTCTGTTGCCAGTGACCTCAAACCTGTGCCTCTACATTCTCCATTCTTCTACCAATAGCAATACTTCTCTTTATCTAGTCTATACAGATCCTTCATTATAATTTAAGATTTTTAATCAAATCTTCTTAATCTTCCCTTTTTCAAGAAAAATAACTGCAACTCATCCAATTTATGCATCACTGAAGCATTTGGAGTGAAGGCTATACCCACACCCATTCGACTCACATTGCAGGACCAAGCTTAGCAGAGATTTTTTTAAAAAAAAATGTCTTCACAGATGCTGACTACTCTGTAGTATAATTTCCCAAATGAAAACAAGTTGCTTAATTCACCTTTCCACAAACCATTACAGGTAATCAATGAACTATTTAAAAAAACACTGTAGGAACATATAGACTACTATTTTTAAAAATTGAATGTATGTGAGAAATAGAACAAATTACAAGTCACCAAAGGGCACTCATTCAGCTCTTAAATATTTTCTAATTGACTTGGTCTGAGGTTTTATTGCCTATCTCTATCTCCGATGGGATTTGAACCCAGGCTTCCTGGCTCATAAGTAGCGACACTGGCCAGATTACGACCGATCAAGCTGGGACGCACATGTATCACTGACAATAATTAATTTCAATTCTGAAAATGTCAACTCACCCCACCCGAGACATTTGATTATTTTACTCTCAGAATTAATGTTCTACCGCTGTGATGGCTATTTAAAACACCTGCTCCTATCTTCTAAGTTTCAATTTATAACTCAGGACTATGTTTCGCTTTGATATTCTGGAGAAAGCAGTAACACCTTTAATTTTTTTTAAAGTTGGGAACATATACATCAATATTTCAACAGGTCCCTGGATGCGGAAACCCGAGTGCACGGCGGGAGATGTAGTCCTGATCACAACCAGAACATCGTGTTTAAGTGGAGGAAGTCCAGGATGGAACTCTTTCCCAGAGTCCACCGCGATAAACGCACACTATCACGCATGCGCTCCCCGAATCTACCGGCACTATCAGTCATGCGCACCGCGGCTGCCGTGGGCACGCAGGCGCAGTTTTTCCGACCTGGTGCAGGGCGCTGATTCCATCCGTGTTGGCGCAGTTCACGTCGGCGCCACCCCTCAGCATTTCCTCGGCGTCTTTCGCGTCCCCGCTGGCGCAGGCCGCCAGGAACTCCGCAGCCGCTTCGAACCTCACCCGCCTTGGGCTCGAACCGCTGACTGCCCCGGCGCCCGCCAGCCACCGCGGCTCGCCCGGTTCTAAATCGGTGCAAGAACCCCTCCAGCGTTTCAGCTGCTGCTTGCGCTTCTCCTTAGCGGCGATGGCAGCTGCAGCGGCAGCACCGCTTCCCGCCCGCTCCGACATCTTGAACTGCAGCCGCCCTCTTTCTGCTGCCTGGACTCTGCGTCCTGACGCCAATCCGGCGTCTGACGTAAAGGCTACGATCCTCTGGGAAACGTAGTTCGAGTGCGGACGACGCGAAGGATTGTGGGAGCTGTAGTCGTAGCGCACGCGTAGAGCTATCAGTCTGAATGATAGGGTCACTCGGAATGTTGGAGTTGTAGTTTATGCTCAATTTTTTTCATTCATCCATGGGATCCGCATTTTTTTCAGTTTTCGTCACTTGCTGAATTTAAAATAGATTTATTCTTTACCAATAACAGTACAGCATTGCAACAAGTTGTTTATTTTTCCTTTATTCATTAACGGGATCAGGGCGTCGATCACGACTAGGCAGCATTCATTCCCCATCCCTAATTGCCCAGAGGGCAGTTAAGATTCAACCATATTGCTGTGGGTATGGAGTCACATGTGGACCAGACCAGGTAATGATGGCAGTTTCCTTCCCTAAAGGGCATTAGTGAACCAGATGGATTTTTCCCGACAATCAGCAATGGATTCATGGTTATCATTAGACTCTTAATTCTAGATATTTATTGAATTCAAATTCTACCATGTGCCATTGTGGAATTCAAACCCAGTTTCCCAAAACATTAGCTGGGTCTCTGGATTAACAGTCCAGTGATAATACCACAAGGCTATTGCCTCCCCTGATGTACGTTAATGGAATTATTTTACAATTTTACACCGGCTCCTGTATTGAGTGGCAAACATCGTGTGATGTTTTTAACCACAGTGGGCCCCCTTGCAACCTCCTTAACGTAATCAACAAGACACTCAAAACTCTGCAAGAAGACCTCAGGGTCCTGGGTAGTGTTCTAGAACAGGAAGACCTAGTGGTTCAGATACATAATTCTTTGAATTATGTATATAGTGTATATTATGTGTTATAGGTAGACATGATGGTTCAGAAGGTGTTCAGCACACTTGCCTTCATTGCTCAGACCTCTGAATATAGGAATTGGGACGTCAAATTGAGGTTGTACAAGACATTGGTGAGATCTTTTCTGGAGTACTGTGTGCAATTCAGGTCACCCTATTATAGGAAGGATATTATTAAACTGGAGAGGGTTGAGAAAAGATTTGCCAGGCTGTTTCTGGGACTGGAGAGTTTGAGTTATAAGGAGGGGCTGGACAGGCTGGGACTTTTTTCACTGGAGCGAAGGAGGTTGTGAGGTGAACTTGTAGAGATTTATAAAATCATGAGGGGTATAGATAGATAGAGTTGATTAGCAAAGGAATTTTCCTTAAGGTGGGGAATTTCAAAATTAGGGGGCTTAATATTGAGGTGAGAGGAGAAAGATTTAAAAAGAACATGAGGAGCAACCTTTTTACGGAGTAGATTGTGTATGGAAAGAACTGCCAGAGGAAGTGGTGGGTGCAGATACAGTTATAATGTTCAAAAGACATTTGGATAAGTACATGAACAGAAAGGGTTTGGAGGGACAGGGACCAAATGCAGGCAAATGGGACTAGTTTAGTTTGGGACATGGTTAACATGGACTAGTTGGACCGAAGAGTCTGTTTCCATGCTGTATGATTCTAACCCTCAGCACCAAAGGTCCCAATAACAGAACACTGATGTATAACAAAGAACAGTGGTTGCTGGAAATCTGTTTGTATGATTATATACCTTTTTAAAACAACTAATTTAAGGAATAGAGATTTAACATGTATTGTCTATCCCTAACTTCCCTTGAGAACATGGACCTGCTGCAGTCCTGCGGTGTGTTTGCACCTGGTGGGGAGAGAGTTCCAGGATTATGAAGGAACACTGAAATTGTTTCAAGCCACAATGTTGTGAAAATAAAAGTGGTCCTTGCTGCTGATTCCCATCCGGTTGCCGTCCTCATCCAGCTTGCTGGTAGAGGTTACAGGTTTTAATGTCAACAAGCAGGAAAAACTGATGACTTCCAATTAAGGAACGATGTAAAACTTCAAAACAGTACCAAATAAAGGTCACAGCTTTAAGACAGTACGTTAAATTTCAAGTACTGATAGGCCTCAAAAACTGCTGGTTTCATTTCTGAATTTCTGTATTCAATTGTATATTGTGAGTTTAATAGGTGATTAATACAAATTAAAGAGTCAAAACAGAAATGGTGTGCACCTGATGAGCTGAATGGCCTCTTGTGATATACTATTTTATAAAATATAGAGGTACTGCCATAATAATTCAGTTTGCAGCCTGTGCTGTAGAGACGCTCAGCTGCTGTCATATGTTTATGCTCCATGCTTTGTTTGTTACAAAATCCTAATGTAATCTTTTTAAAACCAATATATTTAACACTTTAAAATGGGGACTGAATTACAGCCAAATTCCTACTGTCAGTTTTTGAATGTTGTTCTGTCAAAACTGAACACGTAAATGCAAGTCAACAGTAGCCTGTAGTACTGTACTTTCAGTCAGTGATCATTGGGCAGAGCTGTGGAGGGAGTTTCTCCTACTCAGTTGCCATCTCATTTATAAGAAACCAATTTAGCAGTGCCACAGTACACATATAATCAGTATGTTGATGAACGATCAATACCAGTCTGATATTTCAAGTGTGATACATAATTTTCTGTAAAAGAAACAAAGCATGTTTCCAGGAACTCAAAACGCCATTTATGTAGTTTCTTATTCGATCTTTGAATACCATAACCTAGGGTTTATCTAACATTCTCTCAATTGACCTATATATGAACTCTGTGGCCTTAAAGAGATGCACAAGTGCTCTGTAGCAAAGAGTAATATTTTGTAACATAATGTTCTATGGCTTTTTACAGCAGCATCTTTATTTTATTGTGAGTATTAGATTGGATTGCACACAGGAAAATGTAGGAACCAGTGCATGTCTCTGCAACAATGCAACCCTTTGTTTCAGCTGCAAAATAGCTTTTATTTTGTGAAAAGGAAAAGTAATTGCTTAATTCTTTTCCCTGCATGTCATAAAAACAACATAGCCAGAGGCATGCAATCTTTTGGAAATCAACAGAGAGTATTCTCAGAAATTAACTGTTAATTGACTTTAACATTGCTAAAAGGAGAGGCAAAGCCAAAGCTTTTTGCTTTGTAGTTATCAGGATGAGGGTGCAAAGAATCACCATTTGCTACAACATGAGAGCAGGGTTCTGATGGGTTAGGCCATTGTTGGTGTGAAGATGCAGCAGGAACAGTTAACTGTCAATCTCAGTTCTCAGATCAAACAGGTAAACACTGATTGTTGGGCAATGCAGCAGAGATTGTCAGTCTCCATGAACCATTTTCCAATGAAAAATATGCAATGTATGAACAAGATAACATAGTATGGAGCTGGAGGAACACAGCAGGCCAGGCAGCATCAGAGGAGCAGAAAAGCTGATGTTTCAGGTCAGGACCCTTCTGAATTTCTATGTAATTCCATGCACAATCTGGATTATTTAGCAAGTGTTGTTCAAAAGCAGAATAAAGACTGTTCAAAAGACTGCAGAAATCTACAGAGCAGAGGGATTTGGGAGTCCTTGTCCGCAAATCACAAAAAGCTAGTAAGGAAGTTCAGCAATTAATAGGGAAGGCAAATGGAATGTTGGCCTATTTTTAAAGGGAATTGCATTTAAAAGTAGGATAGTTTGCTAAAACTGTGCAAGGCACTAGTCAGGTCACGTCTGGAATAATGTGAACATTTTTGGATGACTTATCTAGGGAAAAATATACTGGCGTTGAAAGCAATCCAGAGAAGGTTCACTAAGCTGATGAGAGATAGTAGGAACTGCAGATGCTGGAGAATCTGAGATAAAAAGGTATAGAGCTGGATGAACACAGCAGGCCAAGCAGCATCAGAGG